GCTTGTTGAACATGGGGTACAAAAATTTGCCAACGTAATAACTATACGAGTCCAAGAAATTGCAATACATACACATCTAGAAGAACAGAATAATTTCAGTATTGGAAAGTCTTGAATAAATGGAAAACTCCCTCAAACAAATAGAGAAAAATAGTCAAATGAAACCAGAAAATCTCCTTTTCTCTTTGACCTTGAAAACCCACTATTATTTGTGGGAATTTACCAAACACAAAGGGTAGGGCATTTAAAAATTAATCAAGGTTTTAGGCAAGGGACCCACCAAGTGCATGCACGCAGCACATTCAGGGAGAGAAGGAGAGAGAAAGAAAGAAAAAATATAAAAAGGACTTCCCGCAGAATGAAGGGAAGGATTTTTCTAGGGAAGGACATTAAAATAAAGTCTTTTTTACGGACGAAATTGTTTTTACTACTAATTCTGAAGATGACCTCCAGAAATTAACATTTAGTAACTTGTAATTATGAGCAAAAGAACATAATTGTAAAATACCAATTGACAAGATGAAGGTTATGGCTTTTAGAGGTAAGGACCCCAAATGAACAAAAATTATCAAAACAACTAATGAACAAATATCCAATTTGCATTATTTGGAATGCAACCTAACATTTTTTATACTGTGATTTATTTGCAGCTGCCTCTGACAGATCATCAAGGGTTAATGTTATCCAATCGAGAGCTTACACATCACTACAGTGATGTCACCATAGTGATGTTCAACATTCTGGCTGGATGACAACGTAACAGCTGATTTTCATTAGAGCAGCCCTAAATAAATCCAAGTATAAAAACATTTTCATAATAAAACTAACCTAATTTCAAGTTATTTTTAGCACTAACAAAATAACACTGAAAAAGTGCAAAAAGAAACTAAGCTCAAATTTATAAAACAATGGTCATACCTATTCTCCTCTATGGGAGCAAAACTGGTAACAGAATCCAGGGAAATCAGGAGAGTAATCACACAAGAAATGCTATTCCTGAGGTCCGTCAAGGGTTTCACATTAATGAACCAATTGAAAAATGGAAATTTAAGAAATGAATTGGGTATAAACAGCCTACATGATTAACTAAAAGTCTACAGAAAAAACGGGCTGAATCACTTGAAAAGTATGAACAATGAGAGGTGGCCCAAGCAGGTCTATTATTATATATGGTGGATGGGGAAAGAGATAGGAGGACTGAGGAAGAGATGGTCTTCATGAGATGACTTTGCTGGAACAGGCTAGAGTGGTCTAATTCTTGCCGCTGATAATGAATATAAGAACTAGAGAATTTTGTCATTTCGTAGGTCATCACTGGTAGTAATACTCAAACAGTCAAGACTTCAACGCTGTGACTATTGCATCAATGCAAGTGGTGAGAAATCTTAGCTACATGGGTCCAACTTACTAGCACAAAAATGCAAACACATGACTAGACCATTGGTATTATTCATTACAACATGACTAGTGCGATCAGTTTAATAACACTATGTCAAAAATCTCGGCGATTGTAGAAGATGAAATATGATACTGGACGTATCTTCTTTTTAATGTTTTGAATGTTGTTCTGTATATTCAAAGTTCCAAAAGCTTGTGTGATCTATGGATTATTTGAAAGAATCTCAGGAACTAATGGATAATGAATTTACAAGAATCACTGCTCTCACATATCTTCAGATTTTTTTTTGTTACTTCTAGGAAGGCGACTTATAAGGTGGGAAGTGACGAAAAAAGACGAACAACAAATGTGTTTTTACAATATGGTCATCACCAGAGAGCAGATTTTAACCCGGGAGTGCTCCCAATATATCTGCGGGATTCAAGCCACGAACGTTCCTGCATTATTGTAATGCATTAGTTGTCTGATATTTCGTGTATTACTTCATTGTACTTTTCTGATAAAGCCTGGCCTTCTATTTTTATCCTTTCATTGAATCATTTATTGTGAGCATGTTGAAACTTGATCACTGCGCTGTAACGATATCTGTCAGATATGTTGCATGCAATGGCGCCAATACATGCCGAGCTGCTGGTGTAATAAGCACATGTCATGGCATTATTTTCAGCTGTGTCCATGAGAAACGACAACAGAAAATGTAATCATTTGTCTTATCTAGGTTCAACTTACAATTTCTTCTGAAAGAGAAATATGATGTGCAGGGGATGTCTGTAGGGAAGTGAAAAAATGCAAACCTTGGACAAAAAATGCAAAGAAATGGAAACAAGACAGACTTTCTAAAAATCTTCGTGAAATATAGGTTTGTTTAGAACATGACAAAATCATTTGTGGAAATTGTATTTAATAAGATGATTAAAGATCTTTGTCAATTTTTACCTTTTTCACCATAAGTATTTAGACAAGATTTCTGCAGTGTAGGATTCATTAACAATGGCATTGAGGGACATGTACAAAAACAATACATATTTCAGTAAATAGAGCTACAGATCAATCACATTCATAAAAAGTTGTAGCTTTATCCAAGAGATACACTGCGGAGACTCCCGTGTTAATAAAATGCGTCTTTTTTCCCATTTCACTTTAGAACAATGCTGTTTAGTATAGAAATTAATTTTGTTAAGCCAAAAGGAAACATCCCATTTTTATGGCTTTTGTTTGCATTTTTTGTCCATTTTTAGTAATAAGTTATTTTTTACCTTTTGCCGTCATTTTTAATGCATTTTTCTCAGATTTCATCTATTGTAATATAATTTTAATGTTGAAAAAAATATTTAAGATGTAACAAATGTTCTTCACAAAACTCCTAAATAGCCTAATAAATTTCTTTGCTCAGAAATTGCTATTTCAGCCGTTGTGAGTATGTGACACCGAACTGTGCCATTGTTGGTTCAGCCGATTTTGAAATAACTAAAGACAAATTTGCGGGGAAAGAACAGTCAAAACTGAAGTTTGAAAGCTGTGTTCACTTGAACAATTAGAAGAAGCGTTGATTACATCATTAATGTATCCAACAGCGTGAGTTGTTCACATGCTCATTTGAAAGATTTGGGAGCAGGCAAATCTTTTAATAGCATGTATACTCCCCTCTTACCTGGTGTAGAGTAGGGAGCTCCCTTAATGTTTGGCATGACTAAATCAAGAAGCTTCCAACCACTAAGAGTTAATAATGTTTTCCTTGTACCAAACAATTTTTAAAATGCCTCTCCATTTGATGCATATATATGTAATGACCACAGAAAATGAAAAGAAATTAGGCAGCCTCCGGTCATGTAAAAGAGACTATGGTTTCAGTGGATATTCAGGAACAAGGGCAAAATGCCAACAATTTTAATTTCATTTTGTGTGGTAATGTACAGCAGCATTTTTGCTAACTGGCGGCCACAAGTATTGCAGGGCATCACTGCTCTGATATGAAAATCAAGAGCTCTCAAATAAATAGTTGAATTATGAAAACGTTAATTCATTTTAACATACTTTATTAGTTTTCTTTTTTTGTAGTTTTCGAAGATTTTTATTTTTTTTGTATCAGCATCATAGACTTTATTCTGGTGTAGAGGAGTTACTCTACAAATGGAAAAAAAATCAAGGCCATGCAAGGCAATGACATAGCAAGAGAAAGTGATGCAACCATTTACAAATAAGCGGACTGTAAACAAATGACAAATAGTGCATGGATACAACCTGAAGTTACATTGTAAGTAGTAGTCAAGCAGTAGTCAAAGGGGTCCCTTCTTATAATAATCATTCTATAATTTTATCTAATGAAGAGAATGCATCCATTTCCGAAACAAGATATTGTGTGAAAATATAATCATAATAAAGATGACTGTTTAATGATGATAACATTTGTTGTGAAGAAATGAGGTATCTGATTTTCACTAATATTAAGAAAAACCTCGATCATTAGAAAGAAGTATAACAGTAATACAATTTTTGGACAGACTTTTCAGTTCATAATTTATTCTTCTAAAACAAAAAGTAAGCATGTCAAATATTTGAAATGACAATTTGTGTTTGCAGGCAACCAATCAATAATATTCTCCAACTAGGTTTTTCAAAATAAATGTCAATATCTGGACACTCCTGAAAGCCTTTTCACCCCTATAATTATAGGAGAATCTCAGGAAGATTGGAATAGATAAAATTATTTGAACAAAATTGACATTATGATGGACTTTTAGTACTGGATATGAAATTAAAAAATGAAGGAAAAATATTATCCCCTTCTGCATTGAATAATCATCTACAACAATTATCCAGAAATATATAGAAGGCCAAAAGTCAATGACCAATTTTAACCAGAGGAATTTTATAGATGAATTGTAAAGGTTAATGGATATACTAGATTACAATGTAAATAATACTTTCCAAGAACACTCTCACAAACGATTATATATGTTCAACCAAGTAAAAAGAAACAAACAGCTTCAAATCTACCTCAAAACCCGCTATCCTTTAAACGGGTTAAAAGCCACCAATTTTGACTATTGTCTCAATTAGTCACAATACAAAACTAAATCTTGTTAAATAGATTTAACAAATTTGTTTACCAAGCCTTGAAGATGTGAAAATTCAATTTTGTTGTAGCATTTTATAAATCATTAACATCTAGATAATTTCAATACAAGCCTAATCAGTATTATGTTCTACACATTTTCATTTGAAAACAAAAACCACCTCCACTGAAAAGCAATACTGCTCACACAAGACAGAAGGCAAATATTTAATATATTACAGAAAAATGAAACAAACCTTATTTAATCCCTGGTTCATGGAATAAACATCAAGAGAAAACAGTTTGCTCATTACTAATAATTACAACTGCATTTTAACACATTTAAAAAAAACATGCATTCAGATATAGAAATCAATAGTTTTAATTCAATGGAAGAAACAACCAGAACTCCTGCCTTTGAATCTTGCAAAATTTTGATAAATATCAATACTAAATTGTCCCACAAAAATTAACTAACTTGCAACAGAAAAGGAGCACAATTTCTTCATCAAAATTTAAAGTTTTTCACACAATTCAAGTACATACCCATCATATATGGATCATCAACTAGTGGATAGAAGAAATCTGTTGTCTGGACTAACGAGAGACCACCATGACGAAGTGGTGTCACAGACGAATCCATACCAATGCCTGCAATATCAAAGAAGTTAACATTAGATAAATTTTCTTTCACTATATTCAACCACATCATGCAACAAATTTGCATCAATTTCATTTAGGAATAAAACTACAAAATGTGTAAGTACATTTGCAATGTCTGACATTCCTTTTTTCCTACACCTATGTCAAAAATTATTTGTCAGCCAAGGACAATCGTTTTGGTCTGCTCTGAACTATCCAAAACCAACCTTAACCTTGACCATTTTTATTTAATCAAGGTAAAAATAACTGACAAGTAGATATCAATGTAAATAATTACTTTAAAGTTGCAAGAAGCAATTTATGTAATGTAAATGGCTTATACAGCATTTCCTGAGAAATGTAACCATGGGTCTTCACAATGAAAGGGTAAGAGAAAATAATTACAATTTATTAAAAATTGAGAATTTTTAAGGCAATTCCAATTCTCATTTGCAAGAATATATAGCTAAGGGTTGTTGTTCAGTGCCTTCCTTCTGTAAAATAAAAATGTTTTGCAAAGTTAAAATGAAAAGCTGCCTCATGGACAACTTTTAATTGAATATAATTAAGAGAACAGAAACAGGGACCTGTGAACTGGTTCTTCTATCTAACTTCAGTCAAAAATTACAATTTTCAACAGGAGAGACTTTATTTTTTCTTACGTATCCCGTATCGTCAATGCAAGAGGACTAACATTTTGAATTTACAAAAAGTGAAGGATCTAAAGGTTTATTGAAAGGAACAGTTATTTCTTAAACTGGGCTCTTCCTACACAATCCAATCATGACAATTCAACTTTTCCTACTGTGGAGTTTATAGTGAAACCAGTCTTACATGTAATCTATCATTATCCTTTAACACAACTGTGAGTTAATGTTCCTTCACCCAATTAAAACATGCGAGCGAAAGCTCACCGATCAGCTGGGCTCTACTCTTACGTATTTTTAATAGAAATTGTTTCAAATAATGTTAGTTCCACCGTTTTTACGTGAAAGCTAGATTTAATTTGTTTACAAATTTATGTACAAGTTAAAATAAAAGCAAAGTTAATGCTCTTAATAGGACGCAAATAATAAATTATAAAAATGAATTTTCAAATCATACATGCCGTCATAAACAAACGTGTGAATTAAAATGAATGACAATTGCCAATACTAACAACAGAAAATTTGAACAAGTTACATTATAAGCATTTTTTTAAAATTCATTCGTTACATTTTCTTTCCAGTCAGCTTTTGTTATTGCACATGGTCGTGGGAAAACTAAAAGTAACTAATAATATATTTTCGCGCCGTTGCCGGCACGATATCAAGGACCAAAAATTTCAGACAGAACAGTACACAGAGTCGTGCGCACAAATCATCGAAACGCGGCCACAGTCAACCGGCGAAACCGCTGAAAATACATCACGCGCCTTTCTGATCGTACCGTCAGACAACAAAAATCATCAAGTGCATTTTATTCTGGACAGATTGTAGTATTTGTATCTGACCCTCCAAATAAATACTATTAATCCAGCCATGATGGCAACACGACAACGCTGAAATTGCAGCACTACTTACCAATTCTGGGACTAGCCATATGCAAAAAGTGGGCATGTTCGTCCTGGGCATTGTTTTCGTCTTGCTGCAGTCCCTCAAGGAGTTTGGCAAGAACCTCCTGAGGGACTTTACACCCTCATCCTTTGAGATCAGCAAAACGTGTCAGACGGAAAGTAGCGTCTAACTCATGTGCCACAGGATCGAACGGCCTCCTTAATGCAAGAGCATTGGGATTTGTGCCCAACTCCAACTGAGCAACCGACAACGCATCCTGATTTCCAGGCGTGGCCTGCATTTCTGCCATAGAAAACTGAAACGGCTCAAATTTGGAAAAAATGTTTACGCTGTTAAAAAAGACGAGAACAATCCGAACTACCAACCCACACTGCACTCACAAAATGGCGTTCTACTATGGGAGACCGGCAACACGCATGCTCTACGTTGCGACGCTACATCACAATGAATTTCATTGGTTGATACAGTTCCCGCCGAAGGACAGTCAAACAAAAATTATTCTGTTTCCAAGCGGCTTCCTCTACCGTCATGCAACTGAAGCAAACGTGATAATTTCTACGAGTGGATGAATAAGCATTAAATCATCCAAAAATAACGTCTAATATTTGAGATTGAAATTCAGATACTACATTAGAATAACTGTAGCAATGTCTTTCATTTATAAAATAAATGAAATGAAGGAAGAAATCATAATTCATGAAACTGATATTCTGAAACCAGATAGTACCTAATGTATTGCAATTCTATTAACATAAGACAGGATCATAGGCATCTATAATAAATCAAAACATATCCATTCTGCTGATTACAAATCTCATTTGTATTTATATTCAATGCCAATCCAAAAATGCTAAAATTATATTTAATTTAGAGAAATACTTATGTATGATGCGCCCTGATGTAATCGCAATGGCCCACTGTCCTCGAGGCTAGAATGAGTCATGGACGTTTTCACGATTCACGAATCTCACTTACTTCAAACTTTTTGAGCAAATATTCCGAATTAATGCAAGACGAATAAACAATGAATAGGAGGAGGGACTGAAAATATTTAATATTTGTAACCTTACTGTTTATATTCCAGCAAAATCTTAAAGGAAAAAAAATGGAGTCCATTTTGAAGAATAAAATAAAATAAACTGTATTAGCTTAATATATTACACCTTATAGTTAAAAAATCGGCGCTTATCCCTTATCGTGCTCCACGTGAAGGAATCGACTCACTACCCGTGATGACGGAAAACGCCGAACCCGCGACCAAAATGGCGTCTTGCTAGTTGCAATAACTTTTGGGGCTCAATTTACGCTTCGCAACGCGCTTTACACTTTTTGCTTGAATATAGAAAAGTATGTGGGCTCTTATCCCTTATCGTTACGAACGGGACAGAATCGGCTGGCTTAAGCGAGAGCATGGCGAACGACAATAGTGCAAGCGGAGTGGCATTGTATAACTTTTTTGTATTCCAGCATTATAAACGACCTTTTCTGTTGCAAGAAATCGTTCATTATCGTGCATTTTACGGCTCCAATGATGGCATGTAACATTTTACGGCACGAATGTGTCATTACATATTCAGTCAATCGCAGCGAGAGAATTATGGGGGAGGTGGCGGTAAACGGGACAGTCGATCAGAGTTTTCTTGCACAGTTCATAGATGTCAAACACCCGACACGTTATAAGGACATAGTTTCGCAAAATTAAGTTTGTTTTATAAATTTATAATGTTGTTATACAAAAAAATAATTAATCTAAGGATGACACGTTATTCTGTGTTTGGTAGAGTTTGAATCGATTTTACCGTCTAGTTTCCGAGTAATAAGATAATAAAGTTTGTCCTTTAACGTGGGATCTGTTGGTGACTTGACAAAATCGACCAACATTTTAAAATTGTGAGGAAACTAATCAATGAATATGTTTTAAACACTAATCTTTAGGTAGCTAACATCACGAAGAATTTATGTGCCGCAATTTGAAGAACATCCATCGTTTCAAATTGAAGAATTCTGAGAAATAATAAGCCTAAGTCAGACCGAAGACACGCATTCGCGCTTTTTAAGGGTTGGAACAGTAACGGGCTACTCGACAACACCGCACGCGTAACGCGCTTCATTCAAATGGAGTGACAATGAGAATTCACTCGGTCGTCTGGGAGCAATGAAAAGATCCTCATTCCCAGGAATCCTTTCCTTTGATATTATCCAAATTTAAATCAAAGCTGAAATTTGAATATTATCACAATAGAAAGGTCTCTACGACCTGAATGGAACGCTCGAATCAATAAATATTCCCAGTGACTCACTTGACTACTACACACCAAGAGTAAATGAGTGATCTTGAAAAATTATATATTTTTTAATACAATCAGTGTGGAACAGACAGCGGTTAATTGATTAGAGAATGTTGTATATTCTCTGTTCTATTACAGGAAATACACTATACTCAAAACTGCAACCCTTCGCAATCAGCGCCCCAATCAGTTGAGCTGCTGGGGGGGGGGGCATGCAAAGCACACATGTA